ACTTTACACTCCTCACGCCACACTCTACACTTTACACTCCACACTTTACACTTTGCACTTGACACTCCTCAGTCGACACTTTACACTCCACACTTTACACTCCACACTCCAAACTCTACACTTTACACTCTACACTTTACACTCTACACTCCACACACTACACTGCACACGCCACACTTGACCCACTGCACACTCCACACTCCACACTTTACACTCCACACTCCTCACTCCTCACTCCACGCACTACACTCCACACTCCACACTCCACAACACTCCACACTCCACAACACTCTACACTCTACACACACCACACTCCTCACTCCACACTCCTCACTCCACGCACTACACTCCACACTCCACACTCCACAAAACTCCACACTCCACCACACTCTACACACACCACACTCCTCACTCCACACTCCCACTCCATGCTTTACACTCCACGCGAAGCACATTTCGAAGTAAGTGGGTGGATGAATGGCTGGATAGACAGAAAGATGGACAGTTTAATAGATAGGTGAATAAACAAATCGATCGATAGATACATGAATAGACAGGTAGATAGGTAGATGGCTAGCAAGGTCGCTCTGTAGATAGATGGCGAAAGAGAGACACAGAGAGAAAGAGAGAAAGAGAGACAGAAAGGGAGAAACACTCAACCACCTTTCAATCCATCAGTGGGTTCGCTCTGCCATTTTTGCGTCACACCAACTCACCTCTCCTATAGGTTTTCCATTTTTGAAACTTCCGCCACCGCCTTGTGCGGTACTACTGGAAGCAGAATCATGACTCTGGAAAGGTTTTTGGACGATACCAGACGAGATACCGGACGAGGTACCGGAATTACTTTTTGCCATCCCAGCCAAAACCCACCCCACGTATCCCCACGTCAGATCAAAAGCAGTAAATGGTGAAAACAATGTGGATAGATCCGAAAGATCCAAGCAATAAGGTCCGGAAAATGAGGTGGAGGAGGATGATGTTGCAGAAGATGAGGTGGAGGATGATGATGTTGAGAAGGAGGAAGGTAATGATGTTGAGGATGATCATGTTGAGGAGGCGGATGAAAAGGATGATAATTAATGTTGCGGAATGTTGCGGAAGAGGAGGTGGAGGAGGAGGATGCTGCAGAAGAGCAACGTGAGTTTCCCACACAGTGTGTACACACTCGGGGGTCTTGTGATCGGTCCTCCTCCTCCTCCTCAGTACCATCATCTTCCTCCTCCTCCACATCATCATTCTCAGCATCATCCTCGTCCTCCCCCTTGACATCATCATCCTCAACATGGTCATCCTCCACCTCATCCGGGGATTGTTAGGGGGCAAATGGATATAATTAATGTTTGCCATGTTAAGAATCCCTGCGTGCCTATGCGTTGTGCTCTAAAGATCATACCAAATAACAAATCATGTAGTAATTCATTCCAGTGGTTGTGTCACTTCTTCCGCATGGCACACCGAGATGAGACAACAAAGTGCTATCTGAGACAAGAAAGGGCTTTCACCCAGCACTGTGTACTACAAAGCTTGTACAAACACGTTCCAGTACTACCGTTTACTACAAAACTTGCACAAACACGAGGTTTTGCAGCTTCCCCCATAGACACGGCGACGTGAGCGCAGCAAAACAAGCGAGGCTTTGCCGGCTTTGCAGCTTCCCCCATAGACACGGTGACGCCAGAGGACAAGCAGAAACCCGAGACGAGACTGAGGTTTTGCAGCTTCCCCCATAGATACGGCGACGCCAGAGGACAAGCAGAAACCCGAGACGAGACTGAAGTTTTGCAGCTTCCCCCATAGACACGGCGACGTGAGCGCAGCAAAACAAGCGAAGCTTGGCAGCTTTCCCCATAGACACGGCGACGCCAGAGGATAAGCATAAACTCGAGACGACATGAGCGCAGCAAAACAAGCGAGGTTTTGCAGCTTCCACCACAAACACAGCGACGCCAGAGGACAAGCAGAAACTCGAGACGAGACTGAGGTTTTGCAGCTTCCCCCATAGACACGGCGACGTGAGCGCAGCAAAACAAGCGAGGCTTTGCAGCTTTCCCCATAGACACGGCGACGCCAGAGGACAAGCAGAAACTCGAGACGAGATAGGCTTTGCAGCTTCCCCCAAAGACACGGCGACGCCAGATGACAAACAGAGACTGAGGTTTTGCAGCTTCCACCATAGACACGGCGACGTGAGCGCAGCAAAACAAGCGAGGCTTTGCCGGCTTTGCAGCTTCCCCCATAGACACGGTGACGCCAGAGGACAAGCAGAAACCCGAGACGAGACTGAGGTTTTGCAGCTTCCCCCATAGATACGGCGACGCCAGAGGAAAACCAGAGACTCGAGACGAGACACGTGGGCGCAGCAAAACGAGCGTTTCGTGCGAGACGTCCTCCAATTTTGACATTTTCGACACGTTATCAAGCAGGTTGGAATGTCACAAAGTACCACGCCTGCCACGCAAACGACATGAGAACCTGCTTGATGACCTTCAAAAAGGAGAGGTTTTGTAGCTTCCCCATAGACACGGAACGACGGTGATGCGACGAGCAACTGGAGGCGAACAAGGGTCCAGCCCCCAGACCCCCAGACTATAAACGGGAACCCTTCGCTACGCATCCGGGAAAAAAGAAGCGGATAAGAGGAAAGGGAACTCCAGATTCCCCTGCAGGCCACAAACGCGTGACTATAGTGAGAAAAACACACATAGAATGCCCATGGAAACTACTGTACAGCAAATATAGATGAATGATGATGAATGGAGAAAAAACAACATAGAAGAAAAGGCAAGGAAAAGAACGTCGTGAGTTATAGACAAAAACAACCCGTCGCGCCGTTTTCCGTACGTGCGTTTTGCACAATTTCATCATCATCAGGTCCACTTAAAGTTCATTTCGCGTGGGAGGCATTAAGCGTTTTTTGTTCAGCATGCACAAAATGTGGAAATTGGATGGTGTTTTTGGAAAAAGTCATATTTCGCTTGTGTTTTCATGCAATTTTGACCGAGCAAAATATGTGTCATCGCATCAAAATAGGAAAGAGAAAACGTGGCCTGCGTGGCATATTCATCATCATTTTTGATCATTTTTGTCCAAATTTTGTCGAAATCAGTACGCATTTAGAGTGGTTTTATTTTTTTTTCCTTCCTCGCTGTGGTGCCGTACATGTATTTCTTCAAAGTGCTGTTTTCCCAATGACAGCCATCACAACACAGTCTGCGCACTTTGTTTTCTTCTTCACTTTCGCAGCAAGTTGAGCTGGTTGATGGTCTTCATGCGAATCAGAGTGAGGCGATTGACATACCTCCACTGGAACGCGCGCAAGTAAACCTCAATCAATTCTGATTGGCTTCCCAGCTGTTTTGGAATGAATGCTTTGCACCAAGTCCACACTTGGTCAATTGTTCCGGTATGTGCTTGAATGACTTCTCGTCCTCGTCTCAGTTCCGGTATTGTCCCAGTTTCACAGACGTGTGCTAGCGTAGCATCCAATGCGTGCCAGCAAGTACGTGAGACGGTGCTAGCGTAGCATGCCGTCATAGAAGAAGGACGATCATCTAGAGACAGACGCCAAGAACGTTATTACACCCCCCACCCCCCAAACCCATTTCACAAGAGTATGTGCAGAGACGTTCACAGACGTGTGCTAGCGTAGCATCCAATGCGTGCCAGCAAGTACGTGAGACGGTGCTAGCGTAGCATGCCGTCATAGAAGAAAGACGATCACCTAGAGACAGACGCCAAGAACGTTATTACACCCCCCACCCCCCAAACCCATTTCACAAGAGTATGTGCAGAGACGTTCACAGACGTGTGCTAGCGTAGCATCCAATGCGTGCCAGCAAGTACGTGAGACGGTGCTAGCGTAGCATGCCGTCATAGAAGAAAGACGATCATCTAGAGACAGACGCCAAGAACGTTATTACACCCCCCACCCCCCCCAAACCCATTTCACAAGAGTATGTGCAGAGACGTTCACAGACGTGTGCTAGCGTAGCATCCAATGCGTGCCAGCAAGTACGTGAGACGGTGCTAGCGTGGCATGCCGTCATAGAAGAAAGACGATCATCTAGAGACAGACGCCAAGAACGTTATTACACCCCCCACCCCCCCATATGAGAAACGTCAAAAACCTGCATTTTACTAGTACGGTTTTCGGCGCGTAGGCAAAAACAAGGAAAGAAAAGGGAAGAGGATACGAGAAAAGGGAACAGGCCCCCCTGCATGGTACAAACACGTTGCTGTAGTGGCGCAAAACACACATAGAATGCCCGTGGAAACTACAGCAGATATAGGTCAATGGGCAATAGAGACATTGAAGCGAAGGAAAGAAAAGGAACATCATAGAAGGAAAGGACAAGAAAAAAGAAGAGGATAAGAGAAGAGGGAACAGGTTCCCCCGCAGGGCACAAACACGTGGCTAGTGAGAAAAACACACGTAGAATGAGTGGCTATAGTGGGAAAATGCCCATAGCCAAAGCCAATTGCGCAGGACGGGCAGAATCACCCAATTCCACATGCAAATCTCAAGATATCTCAAGATGTTTATGTAATTATTTCTTGGGTTGGATTGGTGTGGCATTCTAAGTGTCACAAAGGTCAGCAGGAAGGGACAAAAATCGTCAAGGAAGGCATAATTCACGTGGAAATCAGCGAGAATCATAAAAAACATACCCCCAAAGACCCTTGAATTCATTCTATGTGTCATTTTTTTCGCAGCATTCTATGTGTGAAGTGGGCGGTTAGGTTTCGAAAAGGTCATTCTATGTTTCAGTTCGCAAATATAACCAATATAAAAATTGTATGAAAATTCCATAAACATTCATGAAACCGGCATCAATCAAAATACAGGATAGGATCAGATTGGAATTAATTTCACAAAATTATATGTTTTTTTTTGGTTTTTCATAAATTAAATAAATAAATGTTGAACTAAATGCATAATAAACTATAATTACATAATAATTCAAGAAATAATTACAAATAAATTTAATAATATAATATTTTTCTCAAGACATCTCGAGACCGTATTTACCAACTGCCCGTGAAGTCTTTTGCTATGTACAATTCTTGCATGTTTTTGCCACATGTAGCTACTGGTCCCAGTATCATTGGATCAGGCTCTTACCAACCTTTCCCACCCAGCACGCTAGACATGACCTTGGCTGCAAAACTTACAGAGGAATCGCAAGCTGCGTAATTAGCATGTCGGAACTCTGAGACCTCAGCTCCTGCACCAGCACCATAAACAAAGAATGCTGCCATGGTCGGGGTCCTGCACCGTGGGCCCAGAATGCCGCAGGCTAAAGATGGCTAAACCAAGTGAAGAAACCAAATTCATGCTGACATTCAATCACTGTGGGGCTGAGGGCATGGCACCTGCCTATAGCCTTGGCAAAGCAATTGCATAGCAATCTGTTCGATGACATGTCACAAGTAGTCTGAGTGACATGCGGAAGAAAAAGGCTGGGCTGGCAAACCTGAGCATAGATCTACGTTAGCAACTTTGTGCAACTGTAGAACTTTGGTGCAACTGCAACGGCATGCAACGGCACTCCATCGTCTGCCCTTCTCCCTCTGGCAAGCAGCGGCACGCCCAAAAGACCTTGTTGAACTCCCCAGGCACCAACTAATCCACCTGCCGCAATGTTATGCAGCAATGACCGTCTGCCTCAGGAACACTGTTCAGAATGCAGACTGCCGAGGAGAAGTGGAGCCCAAAGATCATTGAAGATGTTTAGAGATGTTTAGAGTATCTTTAAGTCACTCACAGCAGCGATAGCATGGAAAGAAATGGAAAGAACCAGTTTTGCTTCCGAGAATCACTGCATCCGGGTGAGACTTGTTTGGTCTGCCTTGTCATGGACACAAATGGATCCTAGACCAGTGACATTTTCCAAGATCCAACCAGTGCTACATTGACCTGGGTCACATTGACCTGGTCCGTTCTGTGCACAGTTCTCACACTGATCGGCGCAGGAAAAGCAACGTCCAGCATCCCATCCAAAACCAGCTACGCATTCGGCACAGCCATCTACACCAGCTCCTGTGCACCGCTTGCATGCTGTAGCGCATGCTTCACAACTCCGGTCGGGCGTAAGCCCAAAGCCATCCCGGCAAACATCACAGCCAAAGCTGAAGTCGCAAACGTCGCACCCGTCAACCTTGCATTTAGAGCATTCAGAGGCGCCTCAGCGGCCGGTGGTGCAATCGCTAAATTGCATTGTAAATGATCATGCTACATCAAGGAAACCTTGAATATGTAATTTAAATACTAAAGTCAGTAACAAAGGAAAGGCTTTAATATCTTTAATCTTTTAAATTTTAAAGATTTTAAATGATTTTAATGTTAAATCAAGTGAAATCATGTTGAATCCAGGCCTTGCAGTCCGTAGCCGGGCCTACAGCTCCCAGTGTCACATCGACCTGGACCAGCCTTTGTGCAGTTGGAGCAATGTATGGAGCAGGGCGCGCAAACACCTGTGGCTGTCAAACTAAAGCCTTGGTGACACTGTTCAGGGTCACACCGACCCTCACCTAAAAGATCACACCTTGAGCAGTGGTCAGCACATGGTCCACATTCCTGTACAATTCGACTGCCATTCCCATCACTTCCCACAGATCTCAAAGTGGTGCCCTCTGCGCATTCCTGGCAAAAGTCCAGGGCTGGGCAATACTTGCATCCCCGCACTAAACAGGGTAAGCAGTCTCCTTCCTCATCCAAGCCAAAAGTTGCAGGACAACCACGACAAGGCAGCTTAGCTGGCAGTGTGACTTTGGTGGGCGCATCCGATATTACTTGTAAATCCGCATGGGACTTGGAGTCTTCACGGTCTTCATCACAGCTGCAAAGGGGACTGAAGCAAGGAATGCAAAAGCCTTGCGAAAAGCCATAGCCAGGAGAACAGCCGCCAGCATCGCATTTTCCCGCACCAGCATGGTGGCACGTTGCACAGCCAGGAGCGCACGGCGAACATATCCACTTCACCACTGAGTCGACAATTTTCACCCCAGGCACCTCCCCTTCTTCTGGTACAAAGCCCGCCTCACATTCCAAGCATGATCCTTCAGAGTCACACCGGAGGCAATGAGAGGAGCACACCTTTCGAATGATCACAGCTGACTGAACTGGTGATGGGCTCAAAGCTCCTGTGTCAGGATTTACGGCTGTCACAAAGATTCTTGCTCGAGCACTCCAAGGAAACTCCTCGATTTTCCATGTTGCCACGCTTGGAAAACTGCTCTGGTAAAGCGCTAATCCGCCTGCTCCGCTACGTAGCATGGCCGTGTAGATGCCAGGATCGAAGTTATGGCTGGTCAGCCACCATCGCATCTGCAAAGGTTTTGCTACGATATGTCCATATCTCAAACCACGATTTCCATCGCCACCACGGCCCTCCATAACTTGTAAGCTGGACGGGCTGGGGCGTCCGTCCGGCACGACCACATAGTAGACGAGCGGTGCGCTACGAGCTTCACGAAGTTCATTTGAAGACACGCAGGGAACGCTGACTTGCACACCTGTTTGCTCCCCTTGCTCGACGATGTCGGTGTTCACTTGAGGGGCACAACAGCCCTGTGGTAAGCCCATAGTGCTGGTGAGCATCAAGACAGGTTCCTGGTTCCCAACAGGACCATAGTGGAGCATGGTCAGTGGACATATGTTGAAGCAAACGGAGAGACATACACAAACCAGAGCTACACCAACAGGAGCCCAGTATATTAGCAACCATGTTCTGGAAGGTTGAGGCAGCAAACGACGCGCAGAGTGTGACTGAAGCTTCACCTGCCAACTGAATGCATGTTCGCAATCAAAAATGAAAAGAATAAAGCCACACAGGTAATTGTCAAAGTCCAGAGTAGTGAAGACGACCCACAGCTTGCCAATCGTAGCAATAGGTGTGGTGCTGGTCAGTATCAGCTGAATCGCCATAAGTACGACAACTACCGCCACGATGTATTGTAAAAGAAATGCCCCAAAGCCCAAAATGCGCTGCTGCATGGTCATGTGGACCGCCGGTCTGTGGGCCAAAACACGGTATAGCTTCGCAGCATCTTTGAACTCACCACTGACCCTGAAAAAGGTCAGAAGCATCGACAGGCACTTCATGGCGTTCACAGTCCAGTAGTCAGAAATCGGAACAACCCACTGGCCGCTTTCAAAGAAATACTCCGGTGAACTCCATCCAACAATCCAAAGCATTCCAAACTGCCCAGCTGCTACTGCCAACATTGGTGCTAGGACACTCGCTTTCCCACTCACAAAAATGAGATTGTAACAAGTGTGGCTGAGGTCAATCACCTCTTCTTCGAGCTGATCCACAAGTGGGCTGGTGACAGAGCCATTTGAGCCGTTGGGGGTCCAGTCGGAATGAGTGAAATGAGCTGGACTGGCACGATCATGTGCCCGACCATTTGGACGACCATTGCCGTTCATTTCACTTTTCACCAGGCTGAGCTCAAGATCGTCCCAGGAATGAGCCATATCAACGTAGCCTGTAGTTGGTGACCTCGTCCTGGGAATCTCTACTTCTCGCATCTACAAACCCTGGGCAGCTGCAGCATGGTGCGGCTACGGATTTGAAAAAAAACAACAAGTATCAAAAAGTAAGTATCAAAAAGTCATAGGTTTGTGACACTTTGTCACGACTTTGTCTTTGTGATGAGATCTTTGAAAAAGTTAACTTGCTTGATAAATAGTAGCAATGGCAATCAGGGTCTCAAGTTCCAAGTGTACCATGCCATGCGCATGATCGGTTAAGGGTTTGGCTGACACATGTTCAGGACTTCAAGCTTGATCCAAGCAACGAGCACACATCAGGCTGCGAAGTGCGCGGCTTCTTGAAGCAACATTCATGACTGCACAGCAGTGCACAACCAGCACAACCACATTGAGATTTGCAGTGGACATTTGTCGTCATTTCCATCTGTCACAAATGCCTAAGTGCGTCTTAGCTGCCATGCAGAGCCTCCATCGGACACTGTAAGGCGTGATAGGTGTACAGAAGCCCACAATTGAGGGCCTCAGCATCAAACATTCTAACAATTTCTAACAGAATCTAGCGAAGATCTGACAAGATCCGAGAAGATCTGACAAGCAAAGAAAGATAAAGAAAGACTCTGAAAGACTTGACTTTTTTTCGAGGTCGATGCGAACAAACCAGGTGAAATAGGAGCACCTTGAAGCACATGGATTACCTCAAATCCACAGCCCTAGTCTTTGCAGCCCAAAATTTTGGGGCTACATGGGGCTACTCGGGCAAGAATATCCTGCCCTTGCAGTGTGGAGTGATTAACTTGTGTGGTATGAATCATTATGAATCCTTCTATGTCGGTCACATTTCTCCATGCAAGAACCACTGTCTTAACAAGTGCACCACCGAGGCATTCACCGAAAAGCCGCAGCCCCAGATGATGGATGGCTGAACCTGGGATTAACGATACTGAGAAGCACAGGAAGCGTCTTCCCAAAGGATCAGAAGGGTGGCTCAACAGTAGGATGTCTCAGCACTCAACAGGTGATGTCAGGCATTGCTTTTGATAAGCAGGGCTGGCCAACATGATGATTCCCTTTCAGTGATGAACTTGTTCTCTGCAAGTGATGTGAGGTGGCACCTGTGATCTGATCTCTGTTTCTGCTCTACGTTTCTTCATGGTCCCTCACAACGTGTTTGCAAGTCTCCCATTCCATGTCCATGTCTGATGTGATGCTTCAGCAAGACCTTGGACCAGAAAGTAAGCGTATCGGAAGTAAAGAATACATAAGCCATGATTCAAGATAGCAAAGACACGCGAGTATCAAATCGGTGGCAGGCTGCCAGCCCGATTCAAAAGCCATGATCTTGTCTCCATTTGATTCTTCGTCCGTCGCAAGAGTTGAACCCCTGCAAGTTCCTTTTTCCTTTCGAGATACTGCAATGTCTTGCTTGGATCTTGCAACAGCTATGACTTCAAAAGTAGCAGTCCGGCTGTACCTTGGACTGTTCTACAAAGTCATAGGAAAGAAATGTTTCAAGGCATTGAGGAAGGGGCTCAACCCTCTCCCTTAGATGCGCAAACCCGCTCACTGAATGGTAGATCGCTCGTGCAATGGCCGCATTGAGCTTCATGGGGTAGATCTTAGCAACGGCTGTGTTGAACATTCCCTCACTGCCCTTGCCTTTGAGAATGCGGTGTGCGCCTGGAGCATGGTTGCATCTGCCTCCAGTTCCCATGCTAAGAATCTCCTCCCTCAAGCTCTGCATGCGGATGAGCAAAAGCGTGGTAGGCTTTCGTGCTTCGCATCCCATCAAACACTGATCGAATGTCAGCACCTGCGCACAATGAAGGCGCTTGAGCCACCTGGCCATTTTGCTACTCCATATTGAGCTCGGTCGTTTGGTGGCAATCCACACTGGAAATGATGGGTGCTCCAAAAAGGCCACTCCTCCAATCCGTGCAACAGCCACAACCATGGTGAGCATCAAAATTGTACCAATCCTTGTCTGTCTCCATGACCTTGCTGAATTGTGAGGTACTCCGTAAGGCCAATCATGCGTCCTCAACGGGGGGGGGCCGCCTTCAATGTGCCTTGCCGCGGTAAAAGTCTCACATGGCGGCCCCCCCCCAACTCCGCAGATGGCTCCAGAATGGATGCGCTCCAGCCAAAAGGTCTTGCTAGAGTCCAAGGTCAAATCCCCCCCTTCCTTCTGAATACAAAAGTCTACGGAGAGACAAAAGATTTGGGTTTGATTTTGTTCCCATTGCGCCTCAATTTGGTGATGGATGTCGCCTACACGGCGATATCCGCTAAAGAAATGAACGAAACACAATGTGCGGATATGCAATGCAGCGTGCATCCTCGCCAGGCCCGTCATCTCGTAGCGTCCTGCTTCTCCTTTGAGATGTCCACCGGCAGATTGAAGCACAAATGGGATGACATCTGGCTCCTCGACCTTCACTGGGTCATTAACCTGAGTCTCAACGCAAAACCCTTCCAACGCCTCAAACATCGGATGGGGATCGGGGGCTCTCCGCGCGGTCCACCGCAGCAGCATTTCCCTCGATTCAGCGGAGTCAACAGGCGGTAGTGAAGGGCCAAAAGCTTTGATCATGGGAACCAATGCCTTTGTTTTGAGCCAGCCTTGACTTTTCATACACCGTGCATGTTGCTTGTCTTCTTCGGCCATCTCTTGGATCACCTCTTGCTTGAGTGGTGGGAAACATGCCTTCACCCTCTCGAAACAAGTAGGAACTGCTTGAAGATGCGTAGCCAATCTTGCTCTGTTGGTGAAGTTTTTTTGCACAGTTTGGACAGCTACCATCAGTAACGTAGTGAGACACCAAGTTCCTGTAGCTGTGCATCTTCATAGCATGCACCGAGAGGGCCTTTTTTGAGATAAAAGTCGCTTGGCAGGTTTCACACACCCAAGTGGGGTCTCTCTGTGCGGTGCCCTTGAGGTCTTCCAACGCTCCATCTCGCATGAGATCCAATTGAAAGCTCTGCTCCCACACCACGGCCTCTGCTGCTTCTCTCCTACAATCTCTGCACGATGCTGCCGCCTTTTTGACTCTAGTGGTCCACTTCTGGTCCAGCCTGATGAAGGTCAACCAATCGTCCAGCTCAGCTTCAGAAGAGAGTTGCATCCTCGGGCCTGCAAATTTGCAGAGCCAAGCCAATGAAGATCTCAAAGAGGTAGTCCATGAGGTTTCAACTCCATCTCCTTCTCTCAACAGCCTCCACAACTCATCCGGACAATTGTTCAACAGCCTCGGCATGTACCTCAATCGGGAGATATGAAGTAGATCACTGGGCGGCAAAATCCCGACCACTCCACATAGAGTTGCCGTAGTGAAAGTGAAAGGTGGAAGTCCCTTGAGTGCTCCATTAGCCAGTGGTGCAATCATGCTTCTCATAGCGGCCTCCCATTCATCAATCTCTTTTTGAGTGACACGCGAGAGCGCATGAACATTGAAGAGCATGCGAGACATAACCAGCGATTCAAACACCTGCATCTTCGTTGTAGCTGAAATGTTTTTCTTTCTGAAAAAGGGTTGGATCAGGGGGCCCCAGGATTGTTTTGCTGTACGCACCCTCTCTCTCAGAGCATGTTTGGGTTTCCCATCCGCATGTACCCATCCTCCAAGATGCTTATAGGAATGAACCACTCTGAGGTGTAGCTCTTCTTCTCCGATCATGATTGGCATGACGAAGTTGTCGGTGACCAACTGTTGTTTGGCGTTTTTTGCTCCACTGCCGACAAAGGCTCTAAGCACCTCTGTTTTCCCTGCTTCCATGTTGAGCATCAGCCCTCTTCTGGCCCTCTTCATGTTGCTGCTTCATAAACCGCTCTAAAGGAAATCTCAATCAACGCATGGAGTTCCTCTTGGGTGGGAGCTCGAAGCAAGACCGCCAAGTCATCCACAAAGGCTACTTCGCACCATGCGTAATTCTCCACATCTCTGTGTACACCAAGGTCCTGGACGGGAGCCGCATTTCCTTGCCAACTTGCCCTGGTCTTGCTCTGGATGAGGTTGGTAACGTCTTCGAGGATGACTGTCATCAGCATGTTAAAGAGGACATCTCCAACCGGATCTCCTGGTCGTGTTCCCCTCGTTGTCAGAGCCACCTCAGGTAGTCCTTCCAGTTGAAAGAACGTGCTCTTGAACATGTCCGTCAGGAGGAACTGAGCATGCTTCGAGATTCCTTTGGTAGCATTGTCGTGTGTTGCCTGTTGTATCAGCTGTTCAATCCTCTTTTTCTCAATGCCCATGCCGGTGAGCACCGTTGTGAATGCCGTGTCGTCAATGGGCAGCTCAAACAGTCCTTGTCGGATGACCGTGTAAAAAGCCGCCCGGAAATCCACAAACAATGCTGCCGCTGGCATTCTCTTCGTGGCAGAGTGTCTGAAGTGCTCTTGGATCAGCAAATGCGGAGTATCCGTACTGCAGCCTTCTCTGCCTCCAAACTGGATGTGTTTGATCTTACCTTGCCATGCTCGTGCTAGGTGATCCCGAAGTGTGGAATGGTAGAGTTTTGCAACCACCTTGTTGATGAAGATAGATCGGTAACCCTCAGGGTCAGATCTATGGAGCTTCCCTTTATGAAGGGGCACTAATCTGCCTCCCCTCCATTCGTTGGGTTCTCGTCCTCGAAGAGCGACTTTAGTTGTCATTGCTGCAATGTGGTTCACCATTGGTCCTGCTCCTGCTTTGATAATGTCTGGTGGGATACCATCTGGTCCCGGTGCCTTCCCTCTCTTGATCATCCGGATTTTCCTGGCAAGCTGGTCTGCTGTTGGTATGGCTTCAGTGTCGACGACGTCTGGAGGGAGTCCAAGAGACGGCGGCATCATCTGATGGAGAGATTCCCTTGACATTGGTATTCCACCTTCCACTTCAGCAAACTGCCTAAGCCACATGCGCTGTTGATCTAGAAAAGACCCGAGAGGGCGTCCCTCTTTGCTTTTGAGCAAGGGCAAGGGCCATTTTTGGCCTGTCTTGTGAGCTGGTCTTCCTCCGAGCCGTGAAAGGAGCTGGTAGACCAGGCGGAAGTCCTTGAGGTCACCTGCTTCTCGAAGATTGGTGACAAGATGCTCGTAGAACTGCTTCTGATCTTCACTAACTGCCTTTCGAACCTGTCTCTCCAGCAGCTTCATTTCATTCTTGTAATGCTCGTCCTTCAGCAAATCATGTCTTCTCCCATAGTCCAGAGCAGACCTCTTGAGTTGGATGAGCGCCAGGGTGGCCTCGGAAAGTCTTGGCCTGGTTTTTTCCTTGGTTGTAGTGGTGAAATGCTGCTTGGCTAACTGCATCACAGAATGCTGCCAGATCGCAGCATGGTCATCAGCATGAACACTCCAACATGGAATCGGAAGTGTCTCCAATGCTTCCTGAAATTCTTTGCACTTTCGGGGATCAAGCATAGCCAATCTGTCCCAACGTGGCTTGGTTGGGCTAGCAATGGCTGGCCACCACCCTCTAATGTGCAGGCATACTGGTAGGTGGTCATCATGCGTGAATCCAAAGTCTTGAGTGCTTGTAGTCCATGATGCCCAGCAGCATTCCAAGGCTTTCTCAGTGCACAGCACATAGTCGCACCTGAGCTTGTTTCCCCTTGGATGCTTCCATGTGTGATGGTCGCCTCGGTGGCACCAAGACATTGTTGTGGGCGCGTAGATCTTGTTTTCCTCAAGGAAGGATTCAAAAGCTGAGCCTTGCTCATTTGAAACTTCAGCTCCAACTGTACCAAAGAATTCAGAACATTTGGTGGCTAACGGTGCATTGGCATCGATCAGTATCCATGCAAGGTCAGCCAAACATGCTTCTCGGAGAATCTTTGCAGTTTCGTCCCACCATTCACGCACCTGCTCAATACTGGTAGTAGAGCTCTTGCATGGGGCGTGTAACACCGCAAAGGAAATTGCCGTACCAATTCCGGTAAGGTTCACCACGAGTCTTCGTGGATCGGCCCATGCTGCTGCTAACTTGGCAGTGGTCAATGTGACTTTTTCTCCTTTGCTGATAGTCATGGTTTTGTGAAGCAAAAGTTCGCACCCATAGTGGGGTATGCCATTGATCAC